GCTTCTACCCCCTCAGGAGGGAGACCGCTTTTTTGACTTTCCAAGTCTGCGTGGCCACATCATACTACGATCTTTGCTGGCATAATGTGCCTTACTCGCCCCGGCCCCCTTCTTCACCGTCACATCTATCTTCTCTTCCATTCCCTCATATAGCTGCTCACGGCGTTGTTATATGCCCACTGTGACCCACTCTTCTGCACTATGAGGAGATCGAGAGTTTACGCCATATGATAGTGCAGACTTGCTGGCAATATGTGTTACACTCGCCCCGGCCCCCTTCTTCTGCGTTATGCTCTCCTTCCCACGATCGCCTGCCGCGTTGTCATATAGCCGCGCTCCTGCGCTCCGAGGAGCAAAGGGGAGGTTTCGGAGGAGAAGACTTCCGTGAACCTGGAGGGGTAGAAAGGAGCTTTGACGATGTTGATGGGAGGGAGCATGTGTCCTAATACAGCGATATGAGTGTATAGCTAAAGTTTGAGCGTGAACGGAAACTGTTAGATCTACGGTCCAGTAACAAAGTCGTTACAAAGCACGTGAAGGTCGTCGTCAAAGACGCTGAGGAGCTGAAGCCGTGTTCTGATGATGAGAATGCGAATTACGTCTTTTGTTGCCATTAGTGGTGATGCTATCCTGTTGGGCATGGCTTTAGATGAGCTGGATGATGTAGAAGTCGAGTCCAGAGCATCGACCCCGCACACAACGGGCTCATTCAAATTCTGTACATTTCATTACTACGCTTTCGGTGGACACTGGAATAGGGAATTACCAGACTCGGCTGCTTCGTTAACCCCATCTTTTCTTCGGATCTATAGTATTCTTAGTATACAGATGGAGCATACGATCGAGAACTTGTTAAGACGGAAATTCATCTTGAGATGCGAGAAGAACACAGGTGGAGTGACAGCAAGCTAACTGGAACTGAATGTGAAGAACGTCAGAAGACACAATGACGTTTTGCAAACATCTCTCATTGAAAGTGTATATCGCTAGAACAGCAGACAGCGTACAAACGAACCAGGAAAAGAAAAGCCACTTCGACTCTTTACATGCGATGCCAGTCGCTCCATGTCATAACCTCATACCTCATATCTCATAAACCACCCTACCTCTTCTCCTGAGGATAGTACGCAGGCTGACCCTCAAGCGACTCACCAACACCCTGACGGTAACTAGGCGGCGGACCACCAAACGAAACCTGACCACCAGGCGTAGGAGTACTAGACTGGTTGGGCGGAGCATTGTTGTTAGACACACCGACGTTTGGGTTCAAGTCGCTGGGCGTGATAGTGCCGCCATCACCACCACCCACCATGACGGTCTGCTCGTTGCCCTTCTTGTCCTTGACCTTGCCGACGACCATGCCCTTGGCTACGGACTTGATGATGGCTTTTCTGCTGACGCCTGTGACGTCGATGTAGACGAGACCTACGTTCTTGACGCCGCCGGCGAGGTTGGTGGTGATTTGTCCTGCTTCGGCGCCGTACTTGTGGCCGACGGCGGCGCTGGCTGCGGCTCCGCTGCTGGTCAGGAGTTGCTTGCCGGAGTGCGAGATGCCGTCAGCGACTGTGGAGAAGGCGATCAAGCTCTTGTTCAACAGTCCTGGCTTGTAGTTTGTGTTGGGCGTGCCATCTGGGTTTACGCTCTTGGCGTGTGTCTTCTTGTGGCCTGCCATTCCTGCTGCAGCGTTCTGGGCGTACTTGGTAAGCTGGCCTACAGTTTTGGCTGAGTAGCCAGCGACGCCGGTTGTAAGGGTGTTGATCTTGCGGACGCGCTCGTGGGTGGCAGGCTTGAAGACCATGGGCTTCTCGTTCGGCCTCGTCTTGTTGATAAAGTTCTCAGCACCGGATACCATCATGTTACTAAGGTAGCTGGAGCCGGTAACGACAAGGCGAGATGCGGCGGCGGCGTTCTGCACGAGGCCAGAGTCTTTGTATGCGGGATGGCGGGCCATTTCGAGGTAGTCTTCTTCGAGCGGTCGGATGTCGATGCGCTTGCCATCTGGCGAGACGACAATCTCGACGGGATCTTGACCTGTGTTAGCATGAGTGACCTGCGCGCGCGGAAAAGGTTCAGATGACATACTCTTGGATCCCTGCTGCAATGCTGGGTCGGCGTGGATCATGGCACCCTCGGCCAGCTCACCGACGACGCTGCCATTCTCTTCGTCGACCAAGACGACCTCGCCATTGTTCACAGCGCCTGCGTAGCCCTGGCCTGGCTGGTAGTCCTGGGGGTTGTATGCCTTGATGTCGCCCTTGCCCTTCTCGTGTGAGGGGGCTTGCGCACGCTCGAGGAAGGCTGTGCACTGTGCCAAGATGGTCTCAAAGGTATCCACATCTTCCTGCGTGACCGATGTCGAGCCTTTACCAATTGGCGGGAACTCAATGCGTGTGAAGGCGCCGCTCTCTGGGCCCAAGTCCCATCGCGGTATCAGGTAGCTGCGTGGTGGCTGGTGGTAGATCTGTGTGGTCGCGGGGAGGGGGAGATCTAGCTCCGGGGGGAGGTTGAGGTGTAGGTAGAAGTCTTCTTCGGGCGCTTCGTTCTGGCCGCGCGTGTTGCTGAGGTCTGCAAAGGGCGAGTTGGTGGGGACCATTAGCAGCGAGAGCGTCTGCGGCCCTGAGGGTGTGAGAGGGCTTTCCTCGCCCTGCTGGATGTGGTAGGCTTTAATGCCGCCGACTGTGTAGAGCAATCGAGGATCTCCATGGCCGCTCATGCTTGCGAGACGTGTTTCGCGGGGTATCGAGGTAGGGTGGTAGGTGAAGGCGAGATAAAGGAGCGGTCAGTTGTCTTTCGCGGGATATGGGCAGGAGGGGTATCTTCTATTTCGGTGTACGAGTGCAGGAGCAACAACCTTTTTATGGAATGCAAGCGACAGGGAGTCGACTACCTATGTGCAACCTCCTCTAGTGTCTAGTATTATTTTAGAGGTATTAGGTATTAAAATATACTAATTAATTTATCTAGTCTTTATAGTATAATTTACTAAATTCTTTATATATTTTATACTTTTATTTATTCTTTACTAGTTAGCTTTCTTTTTAAGCTTATAATTTAAGTACTTAGTAATTTTAAAAGTTATAAACTTTATTTTTTAAGCTTATAAGTAACTATAACTAAGTATTAAGTATAAAAAATATAGCTTTAGTTTTAAGTATAATAATAGTTTTTTTATAAAAAGCTTTAAGTATAGTAATTTTCTTAAGTATAAAAAATTTAATATTACTTAAGTATATTAACTATAATTTACTTAAAATATAAGTAACTTTAAACTTAATACTAATTATAATAATTAGTTCTCTATATTAAATATATACTTATATATTTACTAAGCTAATAATTTTAGTATACGTAAGTTAGAGCTATTACTTAAAGTATAAACTAAAGTTTAATCTTTATATAGTAATATTTTTATACTTATTAGTACTAAAGTTATTAAAGTTAGTAAAAGTAGTAAAAAATACTATAGTAAATATAATAATAATAGTAAAAATTTTATAGTAATAAAAAAAAACTAAGTATATACGTAAAATTTTTACTTTTAAAAATAAGTAACTATAGTATTATAAAATTTATACTTATAGTTCTACTACTTTTACTCTTATAGAATATATACTAAACATTACTACTTAAAACCCTAACAGACACCTAGCATGTGCAACCTGCTCGAGACGCCGCGCTTGCGACAGGCATTCTGACGTAACCATGCTCAGCCACGGGGAGCTCTGCAGTGGGCCAATCAACGCTGTGGCTGTGCACTGCGCCACATGAAGGCAAACTCCATCTTTTGCGTGTGAAGATGTGTACGGTCGTATTTCCGCCTTCACAAGATTCGCGAAGCGTCTTTGCCCCTTCACATGCGAGATGCGCCCGTCTTGTGTTGATGATCTGCTGTGCATGCGCCTCGGAACGCGTCATGCACGGACGACTCACGTCTTCACGCAAGGTAGTCGCTCACAACCCCGCGACTGCATCGTGTACTGCTTGGTGAAGCAGCGTCTTTCCAACAAGAACAACGTCAGCAGCTTTCGTCATCTTACCATTACGGTTAGGCTCACCTAGCTCCCGCTCTGCATCCACTCCCTCATTCGTCTCATGGGACTTCCACTCCTGCCATCATCTCGACTATCGCGCTTTCCTGCTTTATCGCTTCCCTGGCATATCGCACCCTGTTGAATACAATGGCTGCACAGGGGATATGTGATAGTAAGGCGAATCATATGCACCACGGTCAGCAGCGGCCTACTACTCACTTGTCACCAGATCTACTATGAAGCTGCTGGAGCACTTTACCGTTGGAACTCCTTCATCATCTGGTAGGTATTCGACATGATTACAACCCCCGATTGCACGAAACTTATCGAGATCAGAATAGGTACTACCACACTGCCTTCGCAGGCGCTTGGCTGGTCAGCCTTGGTTCACAGACACAGCTCTCAGAACGGTCGTCATAAACGTCGATACCATCTGCTACCTCTGGCCTTCAGTTACGATTTCTTTATCTGAGATAACTTATCCTCCTCACAAGACTTTTGTGAGACCCTGCTTGTAGTTTAGCTACATAATCACGTGTGTCTTGGCGTTCTTCGAGGATGGGAAGGCGTGATGGGCGCCTGAATCAAACCTCGCCTTGTTTACAATCGTCACGGCGCGTCCTTGGAGCTGCATCTCACCTCTTCGCTCGGTGGCATCGTAACTTCCTTCGCCGCCAAGTTCGAGCTTGTCGTTACTGCTCTCGTCTCTCTCTGGGCGACGACCCTCCTGTTACACTCCGCAAGGGCAGAGTTCCATGCTTGGCGCGCAACGATATCAGCATTCGCTCTCCGATTTTGTGCTGCCAAGTTTCACTGTCGCGACCGCGTTGCGGGCAAGCACCTCCAATCTGTACACAATCGTTTTTGTTCTAGTTGGAGCTGCTCGCGGTAGCTCACAACTCGTCGCTCTGACGTCGCGCATCGTTCATAGCATAATTCCATCCAACTGAGTACAGCACCATCGCCAGGATGCAAATTCCAAAGCAAGACTCACACCCAGCCGATCCAAGCGAGCCCTCATTCCTTGACCGGCCAGGCGAGATCCGCAACTTGATTTACGAACAGTTGTTCAAGCGCGCCGAACCAATCCTCCTTCACAACACCGATGCTTACAATGCGGTCGAACCCAAACGAAGAAATTACGACACAGATGAGGGAATACACGCCCTGACAGCCAGATTTGAGACGGAACTCGAGTCCAGAATCGGCGCTGATTATGAGTTCACCCACGACTTCCACTTGGGATTACCGCTGCTGCTGGTCTGTCGACAGATATACCATGAGGCAGCCAGTGTGTTCTATAGCGACAATACCTTTGTTTTCTCGCGAGTTCTCGATCGTCATGATGGAGGAAATAATCCGCGCTATGACAATTTCGATGGGAAAGCTTATCATCAGTTCGCATATGCTTCCGTATGGCTATCCAACATCGGCAGTCAGTTTGGGATGCTAAAGAAGGTACATATCGATGTCGATGCCACGTGCTACCACGCTTGCAAGCATGCACTGGATGATTTCGATGCACTGCCCTTGTTACGATTGCTTTGGAAGAACGGTGCAAAAAAGTCACCAATCACATTCGCTTGCACTGGGAGGAGACTGGACCCTGAGTGCGAGAATTCCTTCGCACGGACTGAGGAACAAAAGAAGCGGTATGAGGTACAGAAAAGGCAGTATCCGAGAGACTTAGTCAACGACTTCAATGCGATCTTCTCCAGTTTGATCGGAAACGGACAATTTAGTTTACAAAGATTCGCCAATTTCGACCGGCTTATTCACTCTGTCAGCATACATTTTGTGGAACGATACATGCGAGTCACATTTGACAAGGAACATAGTCACTGGAGGGAGCTCGCAGTGGACCAGAATGGAGACGTCGTCATCAGACAACTAGGCTCAAAGCCACGCCACTTCCTGGACCTTCCTCCAAGTGTCCTGTCAAAGATCATCAACCTAGCGGCACTATCGCCTGAAGGTCCAATACTAGACATTGATAATCATACCATACACGGGCTACAGCTGAACATCTGGCAGCTCAGCAGGAAGTCACGTTCTGATTTCAGAATCAGGAACATGTTGACCCACAACACAAACGTTACCATGGTCAAAACGAGTACCAAGAGTAGGACCAGTTTCAAGGACTTCCACTTTTTACGAGTACACTGCCTTACACGTCCTTGCTGCTTCTTCGTACCCAGATGGGATAGATCCATCGCGTCGTTCAACATCGCTCTCGTTTTCGAAACCGCCACCGCAACATCACTAAGCACGCTGCGTATCAACGTCGTAGGCCTCATAAAGGCGTTGAAAGATGCCGCAAAAGAACAGGTGAGCATCTCCATCTCGCTCAAGAGCCCGGGGGAAGATGCGTGCGAAGCATTGCAGAGTGGCAAGATTCCCCTGCCAGATCTGGAGCGAAGAGTCTTCTTGCTCCTGTCTGATGTCATAGCTGGCTGGGACGTTGCGGAGGACAAGCTACCGGATATCTGGATGGACGGGCACGGAAAGCTCATCAGCGCGACATACTCTGCTTCTGCCACTGTACTAGCTAGCCGCGTTGAGAATCGGCATGCGAAGCTCAAATCGGTCGAGGTGCAGCAAAGAGGGTACCAATTTGCTACGGACCTGTCTAATAACAAAAGGGACGTGGAAGGGGGTCGACGCGCTATGTGGTCCGCGCTCCGAGAAGAGTATTGGCGTGATTGGCAGGATTGGGCACGGAAGAGGAGGGTGGAGGAGGATAGATTGGACATATATGTAAGGGAAAGAGATGAAGCCATTAGGGAACAATCTGGTTTCGACTTGGATGAATATGAAGAGAGAAGGCTGGGTCAAGGGGGAAGTTTGAGACGGGGTATCTGAGGACTACCTAGCGATGCTTCACGGGCGAGAAGGCATTGAATGGCCGGAACTTGTCGGATATGGGGAATAGAACGACGAGAAAAGCGAAGGAAGGAATGGAGATGATGCTCTTCCAATGGACGCCCCCAAAGCGTTTGATGTCAATCAACATGACAACTTGAGAACTATCGTGTTCGAGACACAGAGCGATACCGTGGATAGAATACACTACACTGACTTCGCGCATAGCCGCTAGAACGAGTTACCTTCAGAAATCAGAACAACGAACCAGCCACAGAACCAAGAGACGAAGAGATGCGACTTCCAATGACGCACGCAGTGCCGATGACGAAAAGTCAAGAACAAACCCCTCAAACAAAGAGGCTGAAACTGTTTACTATATCCACAACATGCGTGACGTACACCTCGTTCTTCTGCGCGTTTCATAACCAACGGTGTGACCTCATCTGCGTGACAAGAACCGAATAATGGAAGAAGCAAGAGCGAGAGAGGTGAGCGCGGGTAAGAGTGTGAGAAACGTGGGGGATGAGGAGCACGTCATCAAGTGAGCTTGAGCATGCAGGATAGAGAATGGAGGGCAGGAGATGCAAGATTGGAAAGTGGTAGAACCATGCAATTGTACACACTCGTCAAGTACTCAAAACACACATACGCAAATGCTAGAACGCTACAAAGTATAACCAAACAAACTGGGTGACGCGCTATGCACGACTTCGATAGCAAACATCAGCCATACGGCTTCTAAGACCGACTACCGTTCATAGCACTCGCCGGCAACTCGCCACCCCTAATCTCACTCATCGCATACCCAGGCCGCCACGCAGGATGAATGTCGTTCAACGCGCCTCTCGTGCTATCCCGTACATTCGTCGTGTGTCTCGGTTCCGCTTCTACGATGTAGCTTACGCCGTCTTCCGAGGCGTAAGAAGGGGGCCGCGGGCCTTCTTGCTGGGGAGGTTGATGTTGTGACGATGTTGAGGCTGCGCTGCCGCGGAGAGACGCTGCTGCGAGAGCCGCAGGACCAGAGAGCGAGGCACGCGTCGAGTGAGCAGCAGCGGAGATAGCACTACCCCTTGTCGCATCCTCAACCCTCTGCCAATGAAGCAAATTCGGATCAACCCTCACACTACTCCTCCAAAGCCCATACGCCGGCGGCGGAGGCGGCGGCATATTCTTGCCCTCCTCATCCCCACCCGCACCCACCATATCGTTCTCCAGCACGTCATCCATATCCGCGTCTGCGGTTTCTTCGTCGCGACGCAGGTGCACGCGAATGGGGACGATGGGCTGGAAGCCCTCGCCGCCGCCCGTCATGTCGGGCATGGCAGCGCGGTGTTCGTGGCGCGGCGGGTTCAGCATGAGCATGCAGAGGCGGATGAGCGAGTGGCAGAAGAAGATTGTTATGGTGAGGAGGACCATGATGAAGAGGATGTGGATTTCTTGGCCGAGGGACCGGTTGGTTAGGGCGATGGCTAGGTCTGTGGGGGGATAGACGTTAGTTGTTGATACGTATTTGGGGGTGGGGTGGGATGGGATGGTAGACTTACAGATTGCGAGGATGGTGATGAGAAAGGTGCCGGATATCACACATGCGATCATCTTTCCGCGTGCAGCTGAGCCCCGGATGTATACTGCGGTGGTGCCGCGCTGTTCTCGCCTGCGTACCCATCCGTTGGAACCGCTGGATGCGTTGGATGCGGATCGTTCGGTGCGGTGGTGCTTTCTTCTTCGGTGCTTCCGTCGCTTGTGTCGTCGGCCGTTGATTTCATCTTGTAGTTGCTGGATCTCGGGGTCTACGAAACCCTCCTGCTGGTTGGGTAGTGGTACATCGGCTGGGTGACGAGCGTAGAGTGTGGTTGGTTCCTGCGGATCTTGAGGCGGGTTGATGGCGCCGATGTAGGAGCCCGCTGTGTGGTGCGCATGAAATGGAGCCCTCGAATCATGTGATTCGCGATGCGCGTTCTGATGGGTGGGCAGGCCTTCCTGGTTGGCCGGTTGCTGGCGGTTCCAGAAGCCCAGGAAGGGCGTTTTGGGTGTGTTGATATTGTTGTTGTTATTCATAGCCGGCGACTGCGAGTATATCGACGACCCGTTGACCATGCCCCGCACATTACTGCGGAACGCGCTGAACCGAGATGTCGACTGCGTTGCAGGCGTTGCGTCGAAGTCCTGGTTCTGGTCTGGCCGCGGCGACCAAGCGAAGAGTGGTGACCGAAACATGGCGATCTGTATATAGCGCGGTAGTTCCCTCAAGTCCAGAAATATACGGTTACGAGCCCCCAAGTTCTATCTTGGGCGTACGTGAATCCCTTATAGCAGACGCGTCGTGCTAGCCAAAGGTCTCTGTATTGATTTCACTCAAGACAAGACAAGGGCGAATAAGAGAAAGGATACTCCAGAACCAATGCAGGAACGCCGTGTACCCGAACCGTTTCCAGGAACAGAAAGTGTGGAGTGAAAGAACAATGAATGGATCTCGCCCTTGCCCAAGACCCTACCCAGCATATGCAAAGTAATCCAGTTGGAGCGAACCGTTTGGCTACCAACCTCTTAACTTTCTCGAAAAGCGTCCAAACAAAGATCTTCTTCCCAGACTCTGAAAGTGAATAGTAAAAGGGAAAAGAGTGGAAAAAAGGACCAGACAGGGCTATCCAGCAGCGCACCTCGGCCAAACGAGCGCAAAAGAATGAAAAGAAGCGAAACAAGCAGGAGCACAGCAACCGCTACCTCTATTACCAATGACTGGAAGGAAAATAGATGCAAGACAAACACGAAGGAGATGAAAGAGTAAGAGAGGAGGTGGTGGTCGCGCGCTCCGCACCCAAGATGACATGGGTCACAGCGTCCCAATAACGAGGGACGGTCAGAAGTCGAGAAAGCATTGAGCGCCATGCGTTTCCGCGACGAGTGGCGTATCAGACTTTGATCGCTGGAAAGGTGAAACGCGTCTCCGCCATCAGCCCGGCAGCAGCAGCGATCCAGGACGTGTCACGGACCGCGGTTCGCGTACATCGGTGCATCAAATCTAGATGTTCTCGAGTCTGGCGGGCCTGTGGTGGTTGACCGGAAAAGACGCTGGTAGCAAAAGCGTCAGGCCCGCAGCACGCTGGTTGGCTCGCACAAAAACAACATGAAACGTCTACCCCAATGAGGAACGACTGAGCACCAGTAGCTTCGCAAGTGTGCTATTTACGTGCAACGGCATTCATAACGGTGCATAAGACGCGGGTATTCATCTTGATTGACTTTGGTTGTATTTTGTTTACTCTTTACATTGTCGATGGTGTTGCGCGTCATACTGTTCTGCTAAAAGTAAACAGATTCGTGTCTTCGACGCGTCTTTTGACCCCCTTCCTTCGCTGTGTTGTGGAAGACAGTACATGCGACTCCGTACCCTGTCAAATGTCGCACCGGCGTATCCAGTTCTATATGTAAACAACGCCTTGTGACGTACCGTGGGGCCGGATGTTCCTCGGGCCTTTCTCTCCACGTTTTTCCCCCGGGGGTTGATGATCCATCTCGAAGCATGTTTGCGTAGCCAAGTTGCTTCCTACGCACCAAGTTGCTTCATCTCCACGTTCACTTGCCTAGCTCGCCTACCATGAGCTTGCGGTCTGAAGATGCGGATACCACTAGGATTGCCAAGTTAGCTTCGTGTTCGAAAGACCATAGCGTTGTGTTCAGCGGTGAGGAGTGTCAATGCAAAGGACTACTCTCCTATCCGCCTCAAGCGCTAACAATCGAAATTGTTCGCTCGTTCTCCAAACCCAATCCGCCATGATCACCATCCGGTCGGAAAGCTGAAGCGTAGCGCGGGGTCCAGAGTGCAGAACAGGTAGAGGGACGAATGCAAAAGGAGATTTAGGGTACTTACAAATTGGTTCACCGAGCGGGTGGAACCGCACGTCGTTGACGGCACCTCGATGGCCGGGAAGCTTGTGCAGTAGCTTTCCTGTTCGCGTTTCCCAAACGGCTACACTCTGGTCTCCGCTACCGGCTGCGATCTTCTCGCCCTTGGAATCCCAGCTGGCCTTTAGCAGGTTGCGCTCTTGACCCGTGGGGGCTCCGTCGTATGTTTGGATGCGCCTGTCTGCAGGCGCAAAGGGTCTCACGTCCCATGTTCTGACGGTCGAGTCGTGTGCGTTGGAGAGGAGGGTTTGGTTGTCTGGGGACATTTGGAGCGAAGTGACGGTGTCGGTGTGACCGAGGAGTGTGTATGTGACGGCTTGTTTCCGCAGATCCCAGACTTTGATGTCGTTGTCGATGCCGCCGGTGAAGAGCTCGTTGCCGGCTTCGGCCAGGCATATGGCAGTTATGGGAAAGTCGGTGGGGATGAATGTTACGGCGTCTTTCGTTCTCGTGTCCCAGATCTGGGAGAGTTAGAAATGTCCTAGGACGATATACTGATACACTCACCCCGATGTAGCCGTCGTCGGACCCGCTCACAAGCATCTCTTCACCGCGCTTGCTCACGTCCATGCAGTTGATAACCTCCTCGTGCCCTGGGTGTCTCCGTATCCTCTCTCCCGTCTCCACGTCCCAACTTGCTAGGTGCATGTCTGCCGAGGCGGAGAAGAGAACCTTGGAGTCGCGCGACCAGTGCAGATCCAGGACTGCCTGCTTGTGTCCAGTGAGAATGCCGTAGTTTTCGCATGATCCAGAGCTGCGCCAGAGTACTGTTCATGTTAGCGCATATCTCTCACGTGTTCACACATGACTGACATATAGAGCGGTCCATGGAGCCCGAAGCTATGTACTGTCCTGTCGGATCGAAGCGCGCGGCGAAGATCTCCCCAGAATGGCCCGTCAACTCCATAACCGGCGACTGCAGCGCGCTGGTACGCGAGCCCTACACCACCTGTCAGCACGTCGCAATCTTCAGCTTGGTACTCTATCAAAAGTCCGTGGTGATAACATACCGCTTGTATCAGCGCGCCATTTGCGCCCGAGCCATTCACGACGGCTACTGCAGAGCTTCCCAGATTCGCGTCCGACTTGGTGCGCTTGACCAGCTGGCTCGTGCCAAAAGCCTCGTTGGCGGGTCGCTTTTCTCTCGACATGGCGATGGAGGGGTGCTTGGTTCGGTATACGTGAGGGGTACGTGGATTGGTGCGCGGTGGTTGTGGTCAGTTGTAGCTGGTAAACTTTCCTCAAGGCAGATCTACGCTAGGGCCCGGGCGTCCCAGGTACGCTCCTCCGCAGTCCGCATGCTCCCCGACGCAACAACACGACTTGATATCGGCGTCTTTATATACCAAACACACGCAACAGTCTACTCTCACACTTCGACACCACACACATCGTCCGACCAAATCCCCGCAATCATGGCGTCGTCGACCAAAGCAGCCCGCATGGGCGAGGAGTGAGCTCCAGACGTCTAGTAGTTGCTGCACATGTGCTAATAGGTGTCAGAGTGTGGAAGTAAGTCTCGCATATGGCCACTCTAAGCGACCGCTTCTGACGGTGCCAGGACTCGAGTAGACAAGGTCAGCGCCGAACTCGTCACCCTCACATACGGCACCATTGTCGCGCAACTATGCAAGGACTACGAATACAACTACGCCGATGTCAACAAGCAACTGGAGCGCATGGGATACAACATCGGCATACGGCTCATTGAAGACTTCCTGGCCAAGTCCAGCGCGCCCGCCTGCACCAACTTCCGCGAGGTGTCGGAGATGATCTCAAAGGTAGCGCCACCGACTCAATGGGATATAGATCGCAAGCTGACATGCGGTTGTAGGTCGGCTTCAAGATCTTCCTCAACATCACACCGACAATCAGCAACTGGTCAAGCGACAACAAGCAGTTCTCCCTCATCTTCGAAGAGAACCCGCTGGCCGACTTCGTAGAGCTGCCTGACGACGGCCGCGCGCAGGACGAGCTGTGGTTCTCCAACATACTGGTGGGCGTGCTACGGGGTTCACTAGAGATGGTACGCATATATTGCATCAAGATGGGGCGTGGGTGATGGACTAACACCCACCAGGTACACATGCAGGTTGAAGCGCACTTTGTCAGTGACGTCCTTCGCGGTAACGACACAACGGAGATGCGGATAACGCTGATCCGCTACATTGACGACGAGATGCCACCCGATGACGAGTAGAATGAGGTAGGGTCGAGGAGAAATTACACTTGCTATTTAGGTTTAGCAAGCAGGCATTCGCCGATCCATGTATAGTGTGAAAGCGTGACGGAGAGATATGCGATACGAAGGTAGGCATTCTCTGAAGATGTCGTCTGGAAGCAATTGCATACTGTCGTGCTGTCCTGGAGTCGGGCAGACGATTCGTGCTCAGACTCGATGCACGACTAGATAGGGTGCACTATTGAAGACGGCCATGGAAGCCAATTAGAGGGTAATTGCAATCGCGCAATTGCACTACCACACCATCGACGCACCATTGATCGCTGAAGGCGGCCTCGCAGGCTACATTGTGCATTTAGTCTTTGCAGCCCCTTAATCTTACTGTGTAGGACTTGTTGACTTGGATTTCGCGCAACTACGACCAAGTCGGTGAACCCATCAGGGTGTATGAATGATCTGCTGCCAGTACTGGCTGGGGCATGACGGTCGGGTTCGAGTTACATGTGCCCCACCAACCTCCCTAGATATCGGCCCTGGTGCATACGATACTGCGATGCGGTCACGACACTTCAATTCCGCCATGTCTGACGTCTTGAATTGCTTTATGCGAGTAGAAAAGCAAATATCGAGGCAGTTCTGATGAGAGCGCGATGCTGCGCAATGGGAGGCTGGAGCATAGGGGATCTAATAATACCGAGATCACGTGGAACACTTGGCGCAGCTCACGAGCGGCCGCTCTTCCCCTCGCGCTGAGCAGCTCAGAGTTTGCACGATCCCGCTGCAGTCTCGTTGTGCAGTTGCTTCAATCGCGCCCTCTCGTGCAGGCAAAATATATCGCAGGCGTTGTTGTCGTGATCGCATCTCTTGGCAGACCCGTGTAGCGCGCCGTGAGGTCCCTCCAGGGCGCTGTTCAAGACCTTCCTTCACGCTAACCCCCGACCCATAGTACCGTGCATCAGCCGCCGCCTTTTCATCGCGACGACACCAGCGTCGCTACCCACACCCGGCACCCCAGAGCTGCCATCTCGCGCGACCTCCACGCCATCGTCGTCCTCGACCCGTCCTTGGCACGACGCTCCGCTCCGACACGCACCGTGGCGACGCCCTCCCATGCTGTTGTAGAGGCCCGTCCAGCACCGAGGTGCACAACACAGCGCGTCTATTGCTACCACCGCGCACCTATCGCTAACCCCCCACCCGTCCACCGCGCCTGCCGCGCCGCCCGACTCCTTCCCTCGCGATGCAGAACCAGCAAATGGCGCAGATGGCGCAGATGAATGCGAACGGCTCCCTCAACGGCACCCCCATCATGGGCAACATGGCGCATCCCAAACGCATGGGCGACCAGGACCCCAAGGAAAAGCTCAACACGTACATCTACGACTACTTCCTACGCAATCGCCACCACACCCTCGCGCGCGCCATGCTCGACTGCGACCTCAAGCTCAACACGGAGAAGGCCAGCCCCAACAACAAGCCCAATGGCGCCAGCGACATCGACATGCCCGACGACCTGCCCCTGCCGCTCATGCCTCCGGGCCAGGCCGCCGACAACTCGTTCCTGCTCGACTGGTGGGTCCAGTTCTGGGACATCTTCGCCGCTGCGAGAGGCGGCGGCGGCGGGCCCAAGAATGCCGCCCAGTATCTCGGCCACAACCGGGTAGGTAGCCGCGCACTGATAGACACGGAGGCGTACTGACTGCGACGCAGAATCTGGGCCACATCCAGAACCAGCAGCGGGACCAGCGCCTCATGATGGCCACCAACCCCATGAACGGCGCCCAGTACATGATGCGGAACGGTGCCATGACCAACGGCAACCAGACCGACCTCAAGCGGGCAGCCGCTATGAACAACCGACCGTAAGCCCTCGCACTTTCTCTGCGATCTCGCGATACTCGAACCCCGACTAACTCCCCCCAGCGCCGGCAACCCCATGGCGGGCATGCAGCCCATGAAGAACCCCAACATGATTCAGATGCAACGAGACGGCTCCAACATGGACATGAACGGCAACCGCCCCAACTCGCCAGGGTCCAACGAAAATGCTCCTTCCCCAAACAAGCGCCCCCGCGTCGACGGTACGTCATCTGTCACACCCATGTGGAGAGTACAAGCTAATCAAGACCCGCCCACAGGTGGTATGAACGCCGGTAACATGCCCAGCAACCAGTTCAATGAGTTCATGCCGCAAGGCCCAGGTGCGCAGCAGAAGAACATCGAGGTATATGCCCAAAGTCTGGCCCATCAACACAGAGTGGCAATGAGTAACACTTCCTCCCCCCAGGGTATGAACTCTGGCGTCCAAGGCTCCCCCATGGCCCAGTCCGGCCTCGACGGGCAAGACCTAACCTTCGCCGGCAACGGTCCACGGCCCGGCAACATGCCCAACAACCCTCCAGGCGCTCCCCAGCAGGGCAACCACGCGCTGCAGGACTACCAGATGCAGCTCATGCTGCTCGAGCAGCAGAACAAGAAACGGTTACTCATGGCCCGCCAAGAGCAAGACAATCAATCTGGACATCCTCAGCAGGGCGTCATTGGCGCCCCAGGTTTTGGCGCAGCCATGTCGCCTCAAGGTAGCAGAGCCGGCGGCCCATCACCCAACCCCGCCGACCAGATGAAGCGAGGAACACCGAAGCTCGGCCAGCAGAATCTACCTGGCTCGCCTATGCCTGAGGGAATGATGGGGCAGCAACGCGCATCTCCCGCACCCAACATGAACTTCGACCCCAGTCTGGCACCCCCAGGAATGCCTCCTCAATTCTATCCCCAGAACATGTCCGGCCCGAACGGCAACCCCATGATGCGGCCTCCGAGCTCACATCCGCAGCCGCCCAACTTCAATGGTCAGCAACTAACGCCTGCGCAAATGGAAGCCATGCGCAATGGCCAGATGCAACAGAACGGTTGGCGAGGGCCCCAACCAGGAATGATGGGTCCAGGTGGCCAGCAGATGGGAGGACCAATGGGCCAAAACCCTCAGCAACGGCAGCAAATGCCGCCGCCTCCAGCGCCTACGAACGAACCACCCCGACCAGAACCCTCTCCATCCGTGTCTAACCAGGCACCACCAACACCGAACCAAGGAAACAAGGCCAACCCCAAGAAGAAGGTGACCAAAGACAATAAGGTAACGTCTCGCGCTTCTCCTATACCCTCGAGCATCGTTGATATTGATTTTAGAAGCCCGCAAACAACAAAAAGGGGGCCGCAGGTTCTACTCCCGCCACGACAAACGGCGAAGAACCACCCACACCCACATCCTCCACTCCCGTCGCACCCATCACGCCAGTACACAAGCAATCCTTCAACCAGGGACAAAACGGCCAGCCGCAACCTGTGCAACCTCAACCGCCTTCCGACCAAAACATGGACAACGGGGGTCCGCCATTTGGTAACATTGATGGTGACGTAAGTCTTAGTCCTTGCCTGATTCAAATCGCATCTGCTAACATGACGAATAGCCCAACGGCTTCGATCTCGGCCTCAACTTTGGCGACGACGCTGGCGCCCTTGAAACTTTCGACTTTGACTCGTTTCTACAGACGGGCAACGACAATGACGCTTTTGGCAATCTAGTCAGCGACTTTGATTTCCCCAATCCCACGGAAGTATAGTATTCCCCGTTGTTGTCGTCGTGGTCGCGGTTGCCGCCGCTGCTGCCGCCGTCGTCGTCGTCGCCGTCGTCGGTTAGTTGGTTGGCTGGCTGGCTGTTTTGGTGGAACAACAAAAAACAAAACCCCCTCTTGTTTTCATATACCCTTATCTACATCGATCGCTTTTTTGGGCCATCATCTCTTCTCTCATATTGGAGCATAACGGGGCTTCCTTTGGGCTTTGGGCTAGGAGACAGGGCGGCGATTGGTCCTTGCAAACCCTTTCTCTGCTTCTGTTGTTGTTATCTTGGGCGTTTGTGCTTTACTGGGCGCTTGCTGCTTGCTATGTTTCTTGATTACGCAACCACGCTATTTACTCTGATCATGTCGTTGGTCTTTGTCTTTCCATACTTATCGTTACCTATCTACCTACCTACAAATATTCTCCTTGTCTGTTCACACACAAACACACTCTCACACATATATATTTTTCTTGCATTCGCTTATCTGCACTTTGTGTGTAGGAGGCTTACTTTGTTTGTCTTTGCTTGATTACGACGATTCGAGGAGCGGAAGCGGAAGGGAACACGGAGGAGGGAGCGAGCGAGAGAAAAGAGAGACGTGGAAGTTGTTGAGGTTGAAGGTGGCGATTGGGTTTGAGACCCCGTCTTTGCTATACCATTTTTTCTTTCATACTGTTGTTGTTCAATTGCGAGCTGCAAGGCAGAAGTTGAGAGAGGGGAGGCCGAAGAAGATGGAGTGGAAGATGCTAAAGACAGTGCGACACCATTCTTATCATTCGAGATGACTTAATGCCTGAATAAGTTCCTTTTTTTTTCAAAAGCTGAACCGGAGGTGCATGCATGTCTTGAGTGCAAGCTATCGTAGGGATGGCGTTGTGACCGTAGTCGTGAATGTGAATGGGTAGATCGTAGATGGTTGGTGTATGTTGGGCTGCTTCTATGAGGTACGTCGTACCGCCAAAGGCAATGCGTATGACGAGGATGGAGCGGCCCCTTCATATACACCCCGGTACGATGCATTCCCGCTCTTCCCAGAGCCATTACTAAACACACCTCTTCGCAGTAAACCGTAAATACCGCGTACCTCAACGACCTTTCCTTCTCCTGCCCTCCCCTTTCCTTTCCTCTTCCCTCCGCACCCGTCGTCACAAATCGTCATCCAATAACCCCCCGGCCACCCCCAAATACCCCGTTAAGAAATTAAGAAAACGGGTCAAAGAACCACACCCCTACCTGCCGTTCTTACTAGTGTGCCAAAATAGCCCTTTCGCATACCAAACCCTAAACATCCCGAACGTTGGGTCCGCGCTAGTTCGTCACACGGCATCAGCAAGGTTTGGGGTTGGTTTTGAGTTTGGCGAAACGAGGCGAGGCTGCAACGACTGATTTTCGTCACTCGCTGGGGGTAGGTACGTGGTTCTGATGTCATGCGGATGTGTTCGGTATCATTGGTATCGGAATCGCGAATGCGTGGGGTTTCGATGCTGTGATGAGGTGACGGATCGCGTGGGGTTTGTGGAGAAGGAGGATGTAGGGTAAGGTTCGGGGATGCGGATGTTGAGTTGCATGATGGCGAGGTGATGTACCGGGGTAACTGGTATAGTATAGAGTTTTGATGATGTGTCTTTCATTGAATCCGTAGGAGGTTGGGAAGGGAAGGGATGAGAAGGGGGTAGGATGGGTTGAGGATTGGAACGTAAGACACGGAGATTGTTATACACTGCTGTTGTATCATTGAGTTCTGAGGGATGAGATCCGGAACTCCTAATGATCGATAAACCAGGTTCTGGCTTACTCCCCGACTTGGGTTGCAATACAAGTCCCTAGTATGCAGAAGATGCCGCACAATCCTCCAATAGCAACACTCAAAGACAAGTAGAAGTAGTGTAGACTTGGTTGTAAAGACATGCAATCATTCTTTTTGCTATGCCAGCCAGGCTGCGATCATCGTCGCATTCATACCCAAACCCAGCTCTATATACGTAGCTATTTGTACATTCTAATTTCGTAACCCATCCCATAGCCCAAGCCCAAGCCCATGCATATCCCATAACCAAATCACACTCTCGTAAGATCAAACTTAAGGAGAGTCGTAAACCAACCACATAAACACATTACCGTGACCCATGGACCCATCGGTTCATCCCTTGATCCTCATACCTCATTAACACATCTCTTCTTCAAGGCTCCGACACGGAGTCTCTTTCCATAATCGCACTCAGCCTGTGTATCTTAGTACGTATGCTCGCCCCTCCCCCCAAACCCCTGCCCCTCCTGCGCCCTTTTCTTGCGCGCTTGATGAACAAGACCCTGTACACTATGCACAGCCCGCAAACGCTGCTGACTACTCACGGTAGGCAGAGGAACATGGCCGTTACCCGGGGGTCCGCCGCCCATGCCACCCGTCATACCACCCGCATCCCCCCTTTCGAGATCAGGTTCTTGGCTGCCCTCCCTCTCCTTTTCAATGACTTCCTTGACTTCTTGGTCTTTATCGTCGTCGTCTTGACCGGGGTTGGCGACTTCGTATTCGAGTATCTTGATGAATTGGTAGAAGACGACGGCGATGATGGCGCCGGCTGCGGGGCCCACCCAGTAGATCCAGTGTTCGTTGTCGAAGACGCCGGTTACGACGCAGGGGCCGAAGGAGCGGGCAGGGTTGAGGGAGCCGCCGGTGTAGTAGACGCCGACGAGTTCTGCGATGAAGAGGGCGAGGCCAATGCCGACGGGGGCGATGAATGTAGCTGGAAGGTGTTAGGGGGTGGTAAGGGGAGGAGGCTGGGTCGACATACCTTTATGCTTCTCCTTTGCCAACATGAAGATGGTAAAGACCAGTTCGGCGGTGAGGATAGCTTCGATGAAGACACCCTGGGCTAGACTCGTGCCCTCACCCAACGTAGTCCGAACGTTGAAGGATGTGGGGAACAAGACGCTGACGAGGAAACTGGCAAAGATACTTCCGCTGATCTGCGCTGCTACCAGCAGGAAGGCGCGGATGGGAGACAGAGCGCGGCAGAGCAGCATGGCGAACGTGACGGCGGGATTGAACAAACCACCGCTGATACGGAAGAAGACCCATACGTTTACCATGAGAGAGAAAGCGAAGACGAGAGCGATGTAGAGCAGGACAATGGGAGAGAAACCAGCGGATTCGTTGGTCGTAGTGTTGGAGTCGGGGGTGGCGGATGAGTCGATGTTGGCGACTTGGGTGCCGGAGAAGGCGAAGAAGAGGAACATGGTTGTTCCTACAAATTCGCCGACGAAAGCGACAAAGTCTGCGAGATGTGTTAGCGATGTGGGAGAGTGGAGACGGGAGGGTGACTTACGGTTCTTTGCGTTACTTCCCATCCAGATCATCCATGGCAACCTCATTACACTCTCCTGAGGTGGGTAGTTGGGTGGTCCTCGGCTTCCTCCTGCGTAGGGTATGGGAGGGCGGCGTCCACCGTAGTTACCTCCATCGGGGTAGTACATTTCGTAGTTAGGCTTGCCTGGTGTGTCGCTGTAATAAGGCTGCATGTTGTGGTCGACACTGTTCCTAGGTATGGGTCCATACCTGGAGTTCTGCTCATGGTAGTTGCGGTACGCACTGGGAGGACCTTGCGTTCTCCTGCTTGGGCGACGGTACGCGCGAGGATCGCGGGGATCGACGTCTTCCTCTTCAGAGTAGTCTTCTACGTAGGGGCCACGGTGTGTGGTTGGGCTGTAAGGCACGGGTTGAGATGGTCGTCGCGGACGAGGTGTTGCGTCCCAGTCACGGATGTCGGCCTGTCCTCCCAATTTTCGATTGGAAGGCATTGGCGTTAGACCAAAGGTGTTGTTGGCTTGTTGTACGGGCGCGTTATGTGACTCGGGATCGACGTTGTAGTCCATATGTGCTTGGTGAGGCTGTGCAGGCAGTCGTAGAAGCTCCTGCCTCGAGTCGCTGGATCCACGTGGGTGTGTTGGCATGACGGGAGACTCCATTATCGTCCCATCTTGCAGTGTCTGACCGTAGTATTGAGGCAGTGAGTTGTTTGAGTTCAAACTTGACTGCGCCATGTAGGCGGTTGGTGTGAGGTAGCTGCTAGACTTGGTGGCGAGGTGGTTGATGGAGAGAAGACTTTCGTATTGGCGAGGGACGGTTATATTAGAGCGTCTGGGGAGCAATAAAGCTTATGCAGCTAGTTGAGTAACGGTGAAGTTTGGGTGTTTGAGATCAGTGCAGATCAGTGGCTAGATGTATGAACTGGTGATGCTGAGCGACGAAGGAGACCATATATGCTCGGTGGCCAAGGCTATAGCGAAGACCCTGAATAGATCCCTCACCCGCTCTCGTCATACCTAATTTGGTTCAGTGTCGTCTCTTCGTAGTCTTCTCGGCGCGATAACTCTCCGAGCTTTGCTTCATTCGTTGATGGGAGCAACGGGTGGATTCCAGATCCAGGGTTTTCCATATCGAAGTCAAAGCGATGCTTACCATGACGTCGTCTCGCTGTCCCTTGATACAGAAATGGGTGGGATGTACTTGGTGGTGGCATGGGGCATCCTGTGAAAGAAGCATGGTTCACCTGGTGGGGGTGAAGAGGAGGTTGTCAGAGGGCTGGGCCAACGGTTAATTCGAACGGACGACGGCGGCGGCCAAATGAGAACGCAGCATGATCTTGAAAGTTACTCGAACGTTCACAGGGTAGTCGCTTGTAGTTGTAATCGCAGCCGGGATGTTCGTGGTAAGATGTCGGCTATCTGCCACACGTGCTAGTGGGATCCCTGCGGCACGCACGATTACGAGCCCAAGTACCTGTTTCGCTAACAAAAGTAAAACGCCTAGCTGCGTGAACACGGAAGGCGTTTGAAATGGGCTAACAATGACGGCGGTCTGGAGGCCTAGGCAGTCAGGCGTTCATACGGTCGGCATGTTCGCGAAAAAGGAGTAAAGTCTATATTCGACACTGCGAATGCGCCTGGAGAGATGACCGAATTTAACGATCGACCATACCGATGCAGCGGTATCACACGGCAGTGAACTATGTTCTAGGTCGGCGCAAGGAAGTCACATTCTCCGCTCTCCGGCCGATTGTGCGATGACAGACTTTGCGCGAGGCTGCGTAAGCACTTGCTCCAGATATCGGAGGCTGGAGCAGCGGGCCTGAATACGAGGATGTGTTGTCGTCAGATCCTTCGCGGCAGAAAAACAAAACGGGAAATATCGAGTTGTGATCCAGCCTCGAGCGGGGTGGTGACTGGAGTATCCCGGGTTGTATCCATGTAGTGGATCCCGCGGTCTCCAGATCTTCGATGAGCTGACGTTGTAATAATCCGAGAAACAACCTACTCGAACGAATCAGAGCGAGTGACGCACTTCCGCGTGATACCGAAAGTTTCCGTGATCGTTCGGTAGTACTTCGCTCGATGTATACTGAAACGTGATGTGCAGATGTACAGATGCACACTGAACGAAAAGGGCAACTTTGGAGCATCCTGCGGTGAAGAACCCATCAAGCCTCAAAGTGGCAGGTGCGAGTGTTGAGATGGCAGGCCCACATATGTGCTGGGAAGGAGACCTTGAAGTATTCAGACCCATGCTCTCTCTGACACGAACAAGGACGAGATAGAGAAGCAAGTACGAGATAACGCAAGCATCTGCCGTGAAGTCCAACAGCCCAATTGCCAAGTTTATGTTCTTTCGATATCTTTATTGTTTATCATAGCAAGTATAACACGACGTATGGGTCGGCCCGCGATATTCGTCCGGAGCACCCGCTACGCGCTCACTTTTGCTCGCCCTGGCCGGAGCGCTCAGACTCAGCAATGACGTCGTCGCTGTGTTGTTGTTAGTGTTGTCTTTCGCCAAGCTGTGATTACTGACATGTGCTTGTCCAAATCCTCCATGTGCTGCCTTTGCTGCTTGAGCTTGTCCTTGATTGCGAGAAGCCTGTTTGTTGTCAGCACGTTGTACCGGGTCGTTGCTCGGTCTGAAACGGTGCGAAGTAATCATCGGGATATCGGGATATACAGAGCTGGAGTACGTACTTGGCCTTCTCTTCTTGGCGGATGTAGAGCTCTTCGCTGGCAGCCTCGCGCTTGGTGAAGGCGTCACTACAATACCGGTTAGTCTGGGTATAGGGTTTACAGTTCATGAGCATAGACTCACCCGCCAGCGGCACCAGTAGCCCTTGAAGCTCCAGAGCCGGTGGAGCCCTCAGCCATGCGGAGGGCGGAGGCGGAGAAGTAGCGAGGAGCGGCAATTGAGCGCGCGCTCTTGATGATGGATGTGCGAAGCATTTTGGCGGATCGGTAGAGAGATGAGATGCTGGGTGTTGGGTGGTTATATGCAATTGGTATGCTGAGGTGGAGTGATGGCTCGACATCTGGAAGACATGGGAGCTTGGACGTGCAAGTGCGTCATCGCCACGTGATTTCGAAGGGTCTCAATATCGTTGCCTGGCCCACTCGACAGTTTGGTACGCGCATGACCTCTTAGCATAATACGCCTGTATATCTAGGAAGACCGGAGGGGTAACGTCGGAGTCACGTCTGTCGATGTGTTGTTGAATTATGAAAGTTGCTTCAGCATAAAAAGCACAACAAGCACCATGTGACAAGAAGACTTCGGGGTTTGTATCACTACATCGATTGCAGCAACATGGTCTTGATCTGAACGCCTTCCAAACAGCATGGCAAGTTTTTCGCTCGACGTATGTTTAGCATGTTCACGGCTATCGCATCCATTATCTGGCAGAGCCAATGTGCGCTTAAGGCCAAACGTGATGCCCAATGCTCGTCGTGAAGCCCGGTCCTTGTAGCTGTCATGGAAAGGGTGTACTGCGGGGCATGTTGTTCAGGGACTCGACGACAGCGTCTCCAAGACGACTCTGCAAGCCTGTAAACAACAGCAGGTACTACTCAGGCCAGGAAGGGGCCGCTGAGGCGGTGGCGGATGGTGTTCGCCTGTCAGAACAGAAGGTCGCGCCAGTTCTGGGCCGTGTGAAACCAAGGATAGGCAGGCGTGATCGACGCCAAGACGAGTCAACTGGTCGGGTTCTCTCCCTCTCAAGTCCCCTCCTCTGATAACTCAACCACAAGCCGCCCTTGACCAAAACATCTGCACTTCACTTTCTTGCCAACACCACATCGCCGCCTCTAGCAGCCTACATTCCCTCTCTATACCAACTTTTCTCTACGTAAGTGCTGCTCCACTGCATTTCGTCACTCCCCCCGAATCCGCGGACAGCTGCAATTTGCGCCCCCAGCCGCAGTAAACAAGGCCCGCTCTTCCCATCAGCATGGCCCGCTGTCGAAATCGCTCGTCTCAAGTCGCTCGGCCGCTGTTGTCGTGGGTGTCGTGTATCGGCGCTCTTTTCGGAGACCCGTGGTAGCTCGAGCCGCCCCTCTTTGCGCCTCTGTTGTGAGGTGTAGAGTCCACGCAAGCAATTGGCACATCTCCACTTGCCGCATACTCCGAGCCCTCAACACAAACAGGACAGCCAGCGGACAGTCGACAACGGCCGCGAAACGACATTTTCTCCGATTACGGCCATAGCGCACATTGAGGGGCTTGCTCGTTGTTGAGCAACTGCGATAGCCACTGGTTGCACTTGTCGCGCGCTTCAATCCGATTTACATCAGCTAACAGCGATTTGCACAGACCACACATCACAATGGGTTACGAAGACTCCGTGTACCTGGCCAAGCTGGCCGAGCAGGCCGAGCGTTACGAGGGTAAGCGCACCACAAACAACGCACCGCATCGTGTCCTAACGACATGTGACAGAGATGGTCGAGAACATGAAGGCCGTTGCCTCCGCAGACCAGGAGCTCTCCGTCGAGGAGCGAAATCTCCTTTCCGTTGCCTATAAGAACGTCATCGGTGCCCGCCGCGCCTCCTGGAGAATCGTCACCTCGATCGAGCAGAAGGAGGAGTCCAAGGGCAACGAGACCCAGGTTACTCTGATCAAGGAGTACCGCCAGAAGATCGAGGCCGAGCTGGCCAAGATCTGCGAGGACATCCTCGAGTGCCTTGACAGCCACCTGATCCCCTCTGCTGAGAGCGGAGAGTCCAAGGTCTTCTACCACAAGATGTAAGGCGCCACGTGCATTTGACTAGTCAGTTTGCTAATCTTCATGTCTTCCCAGGAAGGGCGACTACCACCGCTACCTTGCCGAGTTCGCCGTTGGTGACAAGCGCAAGACCTCTGCCGACAAGTCGCTCGAGGCTTACAAGGCTGCTACCGATGTTGCTGCCTCCAACCTTGCTCCTACCCACCCCATCCGTCTCGGTCTCGCATTGAACTTCTCCGTTTTCTACTACGAGATCCTCAACTCGCCCGACCAGGCTTGCCAACTCGCCAAGCAGGCTTTCGATGACGCTATTGCTGGTATGTGAAGGACGAAGTAGTCGTACTGAACAAAGCTAACGAATCTGCAGAGCTCGACACCCTGTCTGAGGAGAGCTACAAGGACTCTACCCTTATCATGCAGCTTCTCCGTGACAACCTCGTAAGTTCATTCCACAGCCCGTTTATTTCACACACGCTAATTCCTATCAGACCCTCTGGACATCGTCCGAGGCCGAGCCCTCCGGTGACGCCCCAGCCGGCGAGCCCGCCACCGACGCGCCCAAGGCTGAGAGCAGCGAGGCTCCCGCCGACGCCAAGGCATAAATCCGAAAAACCGATAACAGACGCAAAAATGGCAGGGGTTTAGTGGTTATTGGTGCATCTTGGTAAACGGTCAATGATGGCTAGACTCATCATTTTCTACAGTAGTGGCATGAGAGGGTATATCCTAGGTGTGACTTTCAGGCCCCGGGTGCGCTTTGTTTAGACTCCAAATTCTCAATCCTGTCTACATCCTTTACCTTGGTGTCTTCGCCTTTATACCACTATACCGTCCCTTCCTGCCTAGTCTCGTTGGTTTGATACGTTGTGTTTCAAGATTAGAGTGTGGCTGGATGGTGGCTATACGAAGTTCTGGCTCTTTTGCTGTTCCTACATTCTCTTCAAGACTTATAATCAAAGATATCCGCTTCTATTTGGGGTGCTTGTTGAAGGTGTGAAGTG